GGCCTCGGAAAGGTCAAGACGTTAGGGAGCCGTAGGCGCCACAGCAGGAGTTCTGGAAAGCATCGCAGAAGCCGGTGGGGGGTGGAGGTGGGGGTGTCCGCCTCGTCCCTTAGAGTCTGCTGGGTTAAAGACCACAGGTTCCCCGGGGCTCGCTCATTCAGCCCCCGGCCCCCATGCCCAGCGAATTTCGGCCTCCAAGCGGAATGCCCAGCTCTAACTGGCCCTCTTCCCCTGCACCTACCAGGGGCAGAAGCCGAGACTCAGGCTGGGCCACCTGGCCAGGTCCCCGCCGCCAGGGTGCGGCTCACCTGAGGCGGGTACTGGGGAGCGCGGGCGCGCGGGGAGCAGAGCTCCCGGAAACCCCTTTCCCGGGGCGGGTACATGGGGGTGGCCGCCGCCCAGAGACGCTTCTCGCGGCGAGAGCCTGCTTCAGGTGGGCCCGAGGCCGTAGAGCCGGGGGTGGGGTGGGGTAGGGTGGGGTGGGGTGTTGGGGGGGTGGCGGCCGCGGCTGCGTCCCGAGTGGAACTCCGGTTCTGGGCTCTCCGGGGACTCGCGCGGGAAGCCGGCTCCCAGAGGGGTGGCCGCCTCCGGGGACCCGCGCCCGGCCGCGCCGGGGGGAGGGTGGGGTGGGCAGCGGAGCCAGCGGGCACAGGTCCACTTGGTCTGGACTTTCTTCATGACGTTGGCCAGGACCCCCCATGGATCTCTCCTCGGAGGTAGACAGCAGAGGGGAGACACGCCCGCGAGTCCACGGTGAGCGAGGGATGCTGGAAATGGGCCCAGGCTTAGCCAGGGTTTTATAACCCAGACCCCGGACTTGCCGCTGGGGCTCCCACCGGCTGGGCAAGCCCAGCCCCAGCCCTCTCCAGGGAGCTGCCCCTGGTGCACTGGGCCTCCTTGGTACTTGGTCCTGGGGTGAGGAGTAAGGAAGGACCTGGGAGCCCAGGGGCAGAGCACATTCAGAGGGCCCCAGTACACCCCTCCTCCTCCTCCCGTGGAGGGCCTTCTACCCACTAGAATCCTACTGCTCAGCCCGGGATGAGGCAGTTGGTGACCACAGTGGTCCTGAAGACGGACCCCTGGTCACACACCTTACTTCACAGTAAGAAAGTGGGGGGACACAATACCAAGAAAAAAAGCTTCAAGTGTGTGCTCCTAGTCAGTCAAGTTTAGGGTGGAATTGCTTATTTTCTGGGTGACCTAGTGCATTTGACTTCACCTCTAGGAATGTAGCTTACCTCTTGTCCTAAAAAGCACTAATAGTTCTCTCAGGAGATGCTTATTCATGCATGTATTTATCCTTCAGCCATGATTTTTTTGAAGATCGAACATAACTGAATAAAATAGATAAAGAACTAACACTTTAGTCAAGAAAGACAGACAATAACTCATGCAACTCATGAATGGGTTACATAGAAATCCCAGCAATTCCACTCCTAAGTATGCACCAAAGACAACTGCATAATATTCAGAGCAACACTATTTGCCATAGTCCCGACCTGGCTACAGCTCAAATCTCCAATTGAATGGGATAAGCAAATTGTGGTGTAGTAGAGTACATTGAGGAAGAATGAACTATTGTTTCACCCAAGAATATGGAAGAATCTCACAAAGACAATATTGAACATGGGGGAAAACATATGAAAGAGGTCATACACTATAATTCCTTTTTAAAAAAATATAAAAACAAGGAAAACTATAATAGAGCCAAGATAATGGCTTCCCTTAGGAATAGTGGCTAGGGACTAGAAAGGAACACACAGGGTATTGTACCAGAAGCCTGGTAATGTTGTTTCTTAAGCTAGATGCTGATTATAGGTGTGTTCACCTGTGAATACTAATCCAGCTGTACTTTAATATAAGATGTATTTTGTTATAAATTATGTTATATTAAATTTACATTGAAACAGGAATATCAGAAGAAGAAAAGAAGTTCAGAAATATTTGAAGAGATAGTGACTGAGAATACTGCCAAGTACTATCAGAGACCAAAGCACACTTTTTAAAAGCACAGAGAACACCAAGCGGGGAAATGCCACCCCGAGGCAAATCATGTTAAAACTGCAACAATCAAAGGTAAAGAAAAAAATCTTTTTTTAAAATCTTTTTATTTATGCATACAAGATCAGGAGTACAGGCCAGAGGTATGGAGGTGGGGGTGTGTGCGAGATGATTCACCAGAGACACTGGGAGCAGAACAGGCAGACTGAAGTACACTGCTAAGGGGAGCAGTGGGCGGATCAGGAGAAGTCTGCCACACCATATGGGTCACCTCCCTGGCTGGGGATTGAACCCTTGCTGCAGTTATTTTGAGAGCTTTGTAGTGCTGTGCTTTAACTTGTTGTGCCACCAGGCAGAGCCCAAGAAAAAAATCTTTACAGAATAAAGAGGGGAGAAAATACCTTACTTGTACAGAAACAAGAATAAAAATGACATTGAAATTCTCTTTAGAGATCATGCAAGGGATAAGAAAGTGAAATGAAATATTTAGAGTGTTAAGGTAGGAACCCCCACTAACCTAGAATTCTGTTCCAAATGAAATTATCTGTCTGAAGTGTTTAAATAAAATATTGAATATAGAAAATCTTAAGAAACAACTAAAAACTATTAGAAGTATTAAGTTCATGAAAGTTGTAGAGTACAAGATCAATGTACTACAAAATTAAATTTTATTTGTATATACTATCAATTATCTGCTGATCAATTTAAGGAAACAATTTCATTT